AGCCATTGGGTTGAATGAGTTCATGAACCCAGGTCAGATGACCTCTGGCAATTGGGATCAAGGAAGGAGTTGGCTTATGAAGGGCTGGAACCCAGTTGTAGTCTGATATTTGAGTGTTAACTCCATTTCTCACTTCTGTTTTCAGCCATTTGGAGAAGAAAGGCATAACTTCCAGCCAACAGTTCCACATCCAAGAGCCTTTCTGAGTTTTTACTGCATGAGTAATTGAAGAGTTGGGGAAGTATCTGCCTTTAAGGATTCTGCTCACAAGAAGGTTAGGATTGGCTGCTATTCTCCACAACTGTTTACATATTAGTGCCTGGTTGAATATTTGTAAGTCAAGGAATCCTAGGCCACCAGCAGTTTTTGGCAGAGTGAGATAACACCATTTCTTCCAATGGATGTTGTTAGTTTGCTGATTACCTGTGTTCCACCAGAATTTGGCACAGAGCATGGAGATTTCAGAACAAAAGGTGACTGGGAGTTTGAAACAAGACATTGAGAAGATGGGCAAAGCCTGGATTACTGCTTTGAGCAAGACTTCTTTCCCAGCTGGGCTGAGAAGTTTTGTCTTCCAACTGTGCAGCTTATTCTTCACTGAGGTTAACAGATAGGCAAAAACTTCTTTCTTGGATTTTCCTATCCCAAGTGGTAGGCCCAGATATCTTGTTGATCTGTGTGAGATAATCCCATTTAGAGTATTGCATATAGAAGATTTGATGGGCTGAGGTGAGTTTCTACTGAAAAATATTGCAGACTTCTGTAGGTTGACAGTTTGACCTGTAAAGAGCCTATATTTCTCAAGTATGGTCATTAGAACTGCTGCTTGATCAGTGCCTGCCTTGCAAAAAAATAGAGAATCGTCTGCAAAGAGAAGATTTTCTTTAATGTAATTAAATGATTTTCGTTATTTTGAGAATTAAATATATTTAAATTGAAAAAATTAAATAATTGGATAATTGTGATAGCATTCAAATTATGAAATAAAAATAGTAAAAAATAATATGTTTTTTCTTATGATAAAGTATTTTTTTTGATGAATTTATTACTATCTATTTTGTATTACAACAACTTAAATGAAATTTTCACTTATTTAACATGTGCTATGGATAATGATGGACATAAAATAAAAGTCCTTTTTAGCTATCCCCTATATATATTAATCCAGAACGTATTGAGCATAAATAGCAGACTCGCATACTTTGAGATCCTATGTGACAAATTAAATGCTTTATTATTAGTCTTGGGTAGATTTTAATTTATTTCCAGTCCAAAAATAATTAGGTCCGGATTATCCATAAATATGTTTATTATTTATGCTCATGTTAAATGTTTTAATAATATTTTAATATCATTTGTTATTATAACCATTGAATTGTGAATGTATTTTAAAAGTTAATAATTTTTGTATTTTTTATTAGTTTTACATATATCCTATATCAAATTAATCATCTCATGATAAGTTTCGATTTAACATCCATAAAAAAAATAAAATTATATTTATTTTTATAACAATAATAAAAAAAATTAAAAATTTATTAAAAAATTTATTATATATTGTATGTATACAAAAAATAAATTATATTTATTTTTATAATATAATAACATTGCTTTTTAATATTAATTAGAAAAACAAAATTATTAATCAATTAATATATATATATATATATATCAAGCAGTTATATGATATAAGTTATAAAAATTACTATAATATAACACATGTAAGTCGCACAATGAACAAGTGTCATTCTAAAATATATAATAATATATATTTTTTTGTAAAAAAGTAAATAAAATTTAAAATAATTTTTCTCATTAATTTTAAAATTTAAGAATTTTCTTTAATAAGCACCCTAGTAATACACATGTGTTATAATAGTGTTATTTAACCATGGATGACTAGACATGAATTATCACTTATTTAAAATTGTACTACAGTAAAACCTCGTTAAATTAATACTCGATAAATTAATAACCTCGCTAAAACTAATAATTTGTCCTGTTCCAAGTTGGGCCCAGTAGAAATTTGGGACCCAATCAATAAAATTATAAGATAATAATTTTTTTGATATCCGAGTGTATATATATGGGTCCCGACGAATCTATAAATTAATTTAATATATATATATATATATATATATATATATATTGGTTCCAATGCGTCCACTTATTTAAAGTGAGAATGTGAGACTCATTTTTAGCCACAAGATTTGGTACATCATGTGTGGCCAAGATTTACTCTTTTCTTTTTATTATTTTAATTATTTAAATATTATTTTGACACGTTGACTCCGACGTTGACCGTTGACTTCCGGCATTGACCATTGACTTTCGGCGTTGACTCCGGCATTGACCATTGACAACTCACCTTCCAACTAGGTTAGTTCTCTGTAGTTGCTAGGCTAGTTCTATGTAGTTGCTAGGCTAGTTCTATGTAGTTGCTATGCTAGTTCTCTGTAGTTGCTAGGTTAGTTGTCTGTAGTTGCTAGGTTAGTTCTCTGTAGTTGCTAGGTTAGTAGTTGCTAGGTTATTTCTATGTAGTTGCTAGGTTAGTTCTCTGTAGTTACTAGGTTAGTTCTATGTAGTTGTTAGGTTAGTTCTCTGTAGTTTCTAGGTTAGTTCTCTGTAATTGCTAGGTTAGTTCTCTGTAGTTGCTAAGTTTTTTTTTTTTTTTTT